CCAGAACCCTCTGTTGTGATCCTGGTCAGAGCAGTCAGTGGTGGCAGCCGGGCACCATCTAGCTGTACTGGACTCAGTCTGGTGGAGGCCTTGGTAGTTGTGGCCCACTAGTCCTTTGGACTAATCTTTTCCTTATATCCTGTTCTCTTCATTCTCCCTTGCTCCCGAAGAGGTGAGACCAGTGGAGTATCTTAGATAGCTGCTCACAGGCCTTTAAGAACCTAGATGCTACTCACCAAGGTAGAAGGTAGAACATTGTCTTTATAAACAGTGTTATGCCACTTGAGCTAGATGTTCGCAGAGACCATGATCCCCACAGCCCTCCGCCCAGCAATTCAGTCCGTCAGGGAGTTTGGATGTGTCTATGGAGCTTCCATGACCTTTCCTTGTACAAGTTGTGCTGGTTTCCCCAGTATTGTGTACTGTCTCACCCTTCACCAAAGATACCACTTATCTAAGAAAAAAAACAATCTTTGATGGTTAAGGGGGAGGGGAGGGATGGGGAGAGGAAATCACTAACTAGATAGTAGACAAGTGTCAACTTTGGTGAAGGGAAAGAAAACATAATATAGGGGAAGTCAGCACAGCTTGACCAAGGCAAAGTCATAGAAGCTTCCTGGACACATCCAAATACCTTGAAGGACTGAGTTGCTGGGGCTGAGGGCTGGGGACCATAGGCTCGGGGGACATCTAGGTCAATTGGCATAACAGTTCATAAAAGTGTTCTACATCCTACTTTGGTGAGTAGCATCTGGGGTCTTAGAAGCTTATGAGTGGCCATCTAAGATACATCTATTGATTCCATCCCGTCTGGAGCAAAGGAGAATGAAGAAAACCAAAGACACAAGGTAAACATCAGCCCAAAGGGCTAAAGGACCACATGAACCAGAGACTCCACCAGCCTGAGACCAGAAGAACTAGATGGTGCCAGTTACCACCAGACCGCCTGACAGGGATCACAATAGAGTGTCCCAGACAGAGCAGGAGAAGAATGTAGAACAAAATTCAAATTCACAAAAAAAGACCAGACTTACTGATCTGACAGAGATCTGTAGGAACTCCTGAGACTGTGGCCCCAGACACCCTGCTAACTCGGAACTGAAGCCACTCCTGAAGCTCACTATTCAGACAAAGATTAGATAGGCCTATAAAACAAACAATAACACGTGTGGGGAACGTGCTCCTTAGTTCAATCAAATATGCGAGACCAAAAGGCAGCTCCCTGCCCAAAAGGAAGACGAGAAGGCAGGAAGGGACAGGAAAACTGGACCAATGGAAACGGGGAACCCAGGGTGTAAATGAGGAGAGTGCTTACACATTGTGGGGATTGCAACCAGTGTCACAAAACAATTTGTGTATAAATTTTTGAATGATGGAAAAAAATAACTTTTAGGATCTGGGTAAAAACAAACAAACAAAAAAGAATATCACCAGTAAGTACTGTGCTTCTTTAAAAAAGCACCTGTATGAGACCAAATGGTCAACAATTAGTTTAAAACGAAACGAGAATGTAAGGGGGCAAGGAAACTAGATTAATGGAAACGGAACAACCAGAATGAAAATAATGAGAATGTTTATGCATTATGAAGAATGTAACCAATGTCACTGAACAACTTGTGTAGAAATTGTTGACTGGGAGTCTCAACTGCTGTGTGAACCTTCACTGAAAACACAATAAAATATTAAAAATAAAATAAATAGAACCAGAAAGTCTAGGTATTTGAGCGTGCCTTTCACTAAACTATTTTGCTTTATAGGAGAGGGCAGGTAGATTGGAGAAACATAGAGGGAACAGGGCGTTGGAGTTCCCAATAAGGTTAGAGAAACGATTAGAGTACCTGAGTGAGAGAAATAGAATAGATTAGAGACAGAGTTGTTTGAATTTAAGATTTCATTGGTAACATAGTTACAAAGCAGGATGTGGTCATGTGGTGGTAGCTTGACTAGATGTGAAGGTCCCCAAGATGAGATGTTCAAGGAGTTTAAAGGCCAGGGTATTCTATGTGTTCTTAATGTAGATAATAAAGTCACAATGGATGATGACAGGACTTTACATGAGAATGGAAGAGTAATGTTCCAGAATGGCTTTGGGAGTGAAGAAGATGCTAAATCTACCTTCACGTGGGCTATGGAACAAGGAACAGTGCTTGCTCTAGAAGTTTTCAGAGGAGATCCAGATTTCAGTTGAGGCAAAGTAACATTGAATTACAGAGATTGTGCGTGTAGAAAAGATTGTGTCCCATGAAATTGTAATTTGATTTGATTCCTTAAGTAATTCAAAGTAGATTTCTTACATTTTATCTCATTTTTCCATTGAATTATAAGACCAAATATCTTGTATTTGTAATTTCCTTTAAGCACCTATTACCATGGGCTTCACAGATTATATATTGAATAGAACTGATTGCCTGACTGTCCTTCCTATTAACAATTCTACTTGCTCTTTTGGATCCCAGTTAGGTTTTCCCAGAGTATTTATAAAATGCAACATCCAACCCTGCTCCTAGTATATTAGAATGGTGTTACAGTTCTCGTTATCATTCTGATGTTGGTACAGTCCTGGAACTTGTTAGTTTGATGATACTACAAACTCAAATTCAGCTCTTTCCAGATTTTTTGTACTGTACTTATGCTCATCTAATTTCCTCCTTTTAATTAATACAGAAACTAAATGTATCATTTTCTGATATTGAAGGAGATCTCCACGAATTCTCAAAAATAACTAATGAATCTCTCAGTCTTCCACTTGCATAGATTTAATCAATATTTAGGTATTCAAGACCCTAAATAATATAGGATATTTCGTAGCTTTTTAATACTTACCTAGAGGAGAACTCTGAGATATTTAAGATTTTTACCCTCTGCCCTGTCTTGTTATTTTTAAGTAGTTAACTTGGGCTCTTAAAAGTACATGTAGCCATATGAGATTCCAGTGAGCTCACTTTGGGGCTGGTGATGGATTTTTTGAAACAAACTGTATGACATTAGTAGAAATAGCAATCAGTTGTTTAATTAAAAAAAACAAAAAACGTTGCCATTGAGTCCGTTCTGACCAACGGCAACCCAATGTGTTTCAGGGTAGAACTGTGCATAGGGTTTTCAATGGCT